TTCGTCAAATTCGAAATTAAAGTAATGCAACAGTGTCTGCATAGAGGCTCATAGTCCGCCATCGCTGATTGGCAGCTTCTTCGAACCTTCACCGCTGATCAAATGGCAAATGAACGCTTAAATTTGCTTGGCTTGATAGGCTAATTATAATGACGATGAAATGATATTCAGTCACACATTACTTGTAAACACAAGTAACGTCTCTACCTTAGGTTTGATTGCGCACCCAATTATTTTTATTTAATGAAATTTATAATTAAGGTTAAAATTATCATATACTGCATGGATTTCTTTAGATTTTTTATTGTTAGCAACAATTCGGCCACATATGAAGTACTGTTTTGACCTCTAGTTTGGGGCACTAAGGTACCCGCTCTTTCGATTTGACCGCACCTAACGAAGAGCTCGAATCGTCGACAGGTCCTTTCTGATCGACTCGACACTTAGGCCTTGCTAAACGATGTTCCATCCCCTTGCTGTTTCTATCGGACATATCAAGAGGAGTGGTTGGGGAGTTGTTAGGATTGATACCTCCTACCGTCAAACCGCCAATTAGTATCTACACCACCTTGACGGTTGGCGGTCTACCACTTTGTATTACGCAATTATCTGATTCGCTCAGCCACTTTGTGTGACCCGTTGTCATCAACGGTCTTTGGATGCTGGTTCGACCCAGGGAACTTCTGCAAGAGAGACTGCCCCTATTTCAAAGGCCGACAACAACAAAAGTTGTGTCTCCTCTGATGTTGCGAGTGTCCATAGGCAGCGTGCATCCTTATGTATAAAAAAACTAGAAAGACTCAACTCTCCAGTATATTCTCTATGCAGACTCTATTATCAAATAAAAATTGATTTATTATTGTGAATCAAAACGAAACCTTTAAGTATTAATGTAAAAATATTGACCAGCGAACTCCGTCACACGCACATTCGTTATCAGATAACTGCAGTTAATCACGAAGCAATTATGTACGCGTCTAACAAACAAGTGTGGCAAACAAACAAGTGTCATTTCGTATAGGAAAATTCCCATTAGTACCGACAAGTGCGGGCAATTGTGAATTGTACAGACGCCCCGATCGTTAACCCGAATACATTACTGATAAAAACGATAGCAAATTGCGTTTAAATGTCTTCATTCATTAAGATTTAATAATGAAAAGGAAAATTTAGCGTTGCCTTTTTTGATGTTCGTTAAAAATATTCCTAACAGACGACCGATTGCGCGTAACGTAATTGAGCCGTGAATCGATTTAACTTTAGGGAATTCAAACTGAACCACCTAAAAAAAAAGAAACTTGTCAAACTGTGCGTTTTACGTGACATTTTATTATCTATCAACGCAAATTCTTTTTAAGATTCCGTACCCAAACTGTAAAATGGGATTTAATGATTCGTAATAAAAAATGCTAAATAAATATATGGTACCTCATATAAAGTCAAACTCATTTGATAATCTAATCAAAAATTCAGCAGCCGTATTCGACAGACGACAAGATTATTTGTGCCAAAATAATTCAAATTAATCATGTTATAAAATTACTATTTTGTAACATAATTTTGGAGAAAAATAATATAATTCTAAGAAATTGTTAATTCCTAAGAACCCATTTCACGGGCTTCAAATACTCGCGTCTTTTACCACTTTTATGTAGAAAAGTGGGTAATTGTATACAAAATACACCACATATGTGGTTTAAAAGGTGAATACCGTTCAAAAATCTGATAATAAAATCACCCCGAATCCCAACAAACGTACTAAAACTCTTGACGTATACTGGGATTTCAACCAGCGACATAATACCTCAATTCCGGTATCCCAGCGCACAGACCAACTCGACCTAAGCTCTATTTTCAACGAGAATAAAGCGAAACTGCCGCCGTCAATTGTTGTTAATTTCCGGGAAAAATAACCGCAAGCAATTCTAGATAATATAGAATGTCAACAAACTCTGTCGTCATAAAAGTAATGAGTTCTTCTTCGTAGAACCCGAAGTGCAATTAGCATAAAAGACCGATGCAACCGCATAATTAAAAGCTGACTCGCTAGCAAGAGATGCCGCGTGACTCATCTGCGTTTTCGATTAGTCTGTATTCTCAGGTATCTAAGACGTCACGTATTGAACACATAAAAAGTAATGGGGGCTTCGATGACGTCTGCGAAAGAAAATAATGATTACTGTAGTGTTGACGTCATCGCAAGGCCCCAATCTCGCCCGTCATCACTTAAAGCTCTGATTCGGATTTTGTAAAAAATAATATCGACGACTTAGTATCAATTAATTTCACTATTAGACAAAAATTTTAAAGTTAAATGACAACGGATAAATACTACATAATGTACACATAATTTGATCTGTTATATTAATTATTCATTTCTTATAATCGTACAGACTACAATTGAAAATGATTTGGCCGCATTAGTAGTCCAATAATCAATAAATCTAAAAATAACCCGAAAGTATTGAACAACAAAATGGCAATTAGTTACGTAATAAAGGAGCTTCATCAGTATTCCAGAAATATTCCGAACGCCCTCGGCCATTAGAAATGTTTTGATCGTGTCAACTTAAATGTATTAATTATTAGGTGTCGATAAAAATTCCATTGCCCTAATGTGGACGCAGACGGAAAAATGCGGCTCTATGTCATTGGGAGTGCGGCCGACATTTTTTTTTTATTTGACACTAAACCATCGCGTTGATACAAAACTAATTTCATGAAAGAACGCACATTAGTAAAAAGTAATACTTAACATCAATGCATAATAAACCAAACTGTTAATATTTATTCCTCTTGAACCATTTTCTTGTATACTTATGTATTTATGTAATCATAATGAATGAATATTAGGAATTTGGTAGAAAAAGAACCTCAAAACTGACTTCATCACCCATTCATTTATCCCATGATCTTTTTATGCGAATTTGATTACATTAACAAATCATTATCTTCCAAAATATTGTCAATTATCGGCAATACGATAAACAAACATCCTGGAGTTACTTTGCCTCTTTAGTATTTTATACCCATAGATACTTCAAACTAGGTTAGTCATCTTTTCGTACACCACATTTAACTCCCACTAATAATGGATACAGGTAGTTTTACATTTAACAAAACTTATCTGGCGTCTCCTTAGCCTTTTCTTGTTGACATGCGGAAAGAATGACTTTGCCAAAATAAATATTTAACAGACGACGTTCGGCCAACGCGATTTGACCGTTTTTGTGACATGACAAGTGTATATCTACACCTGTTTACTTTATGACTCAGATTTGTCGGAGTCTATCACCAGTACTCTAATTAACCTTGATTTAGATAGCGACTATTGTGGTGAAAAATTTGCTATTTTAATTGCCAGGAATGTTACAATCGACTTTCGTAAAACTCGTTATTACCTTATTATGTTATTAATAAAAACTAATTACTTACCTGCTTCCAGTAAATACCTGACAAATTCAACAAGTTTTTGCAATTGCAAAAAATTGGGCTATTGCCGGATCATAATTATACTTGACGCATAGAATTTTAGAAAAAACGTTAAAGTAATGAAATATTCATGAAAATCATCAAAAATCCGACTTTGAATCTGGTTAGTTAAGTAATTTATGACGTTTACATACCCTCAGTATTTCCTGAACTTCTCTCTCGAAGTCTCTAGATTTTGTTTTTATATCATGTACCTACTTGATCATTAACGTTTACATTTTCGTTTCAATCCCTAAAAATAAATAAGCGCTTTTTAGACAATCTCAAATATTAATTATAATAAAATATGCTCAAATCTTCTATGCCAATACTGGGTAACAAAAAATATAAAATAAATGTAATACTAATTTATTGCTCAGTAATATTTAAAACAATCAAAAGTAATATTTATTTATACTTTAAAACGCACTGTCATTGGAAACGTTGCACTCGGCTGATTTGCGATGAAAATAAAAAAATAAACTCGGCGTCACTCATTATCTGTGCATATACGTCAATCGGGTTTTTTCTGTTCGCGCGCGTGTGAACGCTCCGGCCGACAATGGAGATAAGTTCAGCGGGTGAAAGTAGGCGCACGGTATTCGATTCCAAGAGGCACGGTATTGGCTTCGACGTCGGTCGCTTGCGGTCAACCCAGCGTCGGTGTAGGCGGTCGCCCACACTTCGCCGTCGTGTTGCAGTGCTTACACGCAGGCCGGCTACTGTCAACCCAATAAAAACCGCCAACTCTGAACACGCAAACCGACTCGTGTTAACCTCATTACGTATTTGAAAATCGAACGCTATTCACAATACGTACGAAATTAATCAAATTATCTAGATCGCAAGCCGATATAAATTCGAATGTACGAAAGACGGATTAAAGGGAAAGTCTAATCCGAATTATTATATTGTTTTCTCGAACATTCTTAGCCACCTAGCCACATCGTCAGCCTTTAACTGTAGCCGACCGTAATTCCATCCGTCAGTAATTACGGAACGTGAGCCCTGATTGATGATGGCAAACAGTAGCGGGGTTATAATTGACGGCGACCATTGTGCCCGGCGCCCGGCGCCTGATTGATAGCGCCACGAGCGGACCCGGTTGCAACAGACCATATACAAAGCACCGTCCTCGATTATATCCAACCGTAATTAGACTCCGTGTTTTGCAATAGAGTACCATCGCTGTTGATTAATTACAATCGATAGAGGGCCGATTGAAAATTCAAACGCGGCTCTAATCGACACCGTACATAGCGGACAACTCTACGTATCTAGCCTAAGGTACCGACACTATCGCGTACGTATAATAAAGATCTGTCCTCACCGCTCCAAACTACCGATTAGACAATCGATGCAGGTCTGAGTTCAAACTAATCTGAAACCTAGATACAACTTCAACGTACTTCCGTCATAAAAAATTTCGTCAGCTCGGCCGCTAAAACGCACAGTCCCATAAACTGAAAGCGAAAACGTATTAAGGCGACAGCGCAAGTTAATCCGTCGGTACGCACTATCATCACTCAACAGTCCGCACGCATGACGGTGGAACTTTCTAGGGCACGTTCTAAACGGCGTACTCCTAGATGGCGGGTAGCGGGCGATCGGGTTCCGTAATTAGGGAGCGCGAGCGTCGCGGCGTGCGCCCGCGCCGCGCCGTCCGATTGTTTACGGCGCGCACGCGCGGCGGTCGCGTGGCCCCCCGCGCCCCCCGGGCAGCTGCTCCGCACAGGTGGCGCGTGTGGGAACTCGGCGGCTCCGTGCGTTCCCACGATCGCGCGCCCTCCGCTCCCTATATAAGCCCCCGCCCGGCCGCCGGAGCGCATTCCGCGTTCGACGCTCGGCGCTAACGCACGCTCGCTTAATAACAATCTAAAGGACATGTCTTACGAGATCGCGTACTCGCTAGCGGACGACGGGCCGCAGCCCGTATCGCGCACTTACCAATACCGCAAAGTGATGAAGCCGATGCTGGAGCGCAAGAGGCGCGCCCGCATCAACCGCTGCCTGGACGAGCTGAAGGAGCTGATGGTCAGCGCTCTGCAGTCGGAGGGCGAGAACGTCGCCAAGCTGGAGAAGGCCGACATCCTGGAGTTGACTGTGCGCCACCTGCATAAGCTCCGTCGCCAGCGCCGCCTGTCGCTCAGTCCGACGGCAGACGCGGACCGCTTCCGCGCCGGGTTCACCCACGCCGCCAACGAAGTGTCCAGATGCCTGGCCTCCATCCCCGGCGTGGACGTGAGGCTCGGCACCCAGCTGATGACGCACCTGGGCCACAGACTGAACGACATGCAACGCGCCGCCGCCGGTGCGGACACCCCGCCTGCCAGCCCCCCGAGCCCAGCGCTCTCGACTGTGTCCTCTTCGTCTGGCTACGTGACCCCATCGCCGCCAGCATCCCCGGTGCCCGTACACACCGCCGTACCATTGGACTGCACAACCAACTCCAGCATGAAGTCGCCGGCGGTGTGGCGGCCCTGGTAAACAACGGTGCTAGGAGCTGGCGGACCCGGCTTCACGGTCACATCTGTTCCAGCACCGCTCGGAGTCGCACGCGCCCCCAAGTGTCCGCCTAATCCATAAGTTTAGTGATATCGTGTGCAAACATGAAATGACTCTAAGATCTCACAGCTATTTAGTGGTAGGCATTTAATATCGATAGTTCGTAAGTTAAACTTGAAAGCTTTAATTGAACTTAGTTTTGTAAGTAATAATTTTGTGATATTAAAAGAGTTAATATTATTGTTTAAAATAAGATAGAGATGTATCGAGCCTCGCCCGACTTAGAGCGGGTTCGGATTGTTATGTTTTTTTTTTTATCGTTAATGAAAGAGGTATCACATTTATGTGAACGATTAAGAAAGAGTAAATTAATAAAAACATTATTCTGTAAACATATTTCTGCATTTTATTCCCTATTGAACCTAACACCACGTTAAATAAATTACTACTATGAATGAAATGACAAGTGTAGATGATGACACAGGCCGTTAATTTGCAAGCGGCGCTTAACGCTAAGCGAATGCAGACACGTATTTTCTGTGCGTTCGTGTATACAAACAATAAATACTTTGTAGACAATGTGATAAATATCAAAAGGGGTGAAGGGCGCGGACCTATGACACGGCACGATGTCGCGTGACGTGTCGCGTACTCAGTAACTTTCCTGTTTACACTCAGCTCGCACGTATGCGCCGGAGCCTTGTTTAGAATGTGATTGTTTACGGGGAAACTAGAACAATTAGCCGGAGAACTCTACCTTTCAATGCGAATTCAATTAAACATCGATACCGAAATAGTCTATTACCAATAGACGAGTTCGATGTTATTAACATGATTTAATTTTGTCTCGAGTTTTATCAGAGATTATCAAATGGGAAGGACGAGCGTATCAAAACGGTTGTGCGAAGACACGTCCGGTTCCCGCCTCCAATAACTGCCGTTTAATGTAAACCATAATAAGTTATTACTTCAAAATTAAAAACATATTCAATTCGTGCGGAACCGCCAATGTTGATCGCCGACTCACACTGATTAACTGAAAGAAACCTTACTAATGCCAATGTTACAAATTTAATAAAAATGGATGAATGAGCCGTGATAGCTCAGTGTCCGGGCGCTCGCCTTTAATTCAATATACTCGAGCAACCTGAGTTCGATCATCGGTGCCGGCACCAATGAAATTGTTAATTTTATGTGAATTATCACGAGCTCAGCGTTGAAGGAAAAACATCGCGAGGAAACCTGCATATTTTCGAAATAATATGATAAAAAATATTTCGAAGATATGTGAAGTCCGCCAATCCGCAGTGGGGCCGCGTGCTGGACTGTGCCCTGATACCCTCTGTACAGAGGAGGCTTTTGCCCAACAGTGGGACATCTATAGATTGATACTTTACTTCAATAAAATGACTGAATGCAAACGAAGGCGTTTTAAAAAAAGTTTATTAAATTAGTACGAAATAGACATTTTATTCATTTTAGCGTAGAACTACTAATAAGACTTCATTTCTGAGACCAATGTTGAGACATTTCTTAGCATAGCGTCGTTAAGTTACGGTTTGATAAAATTAACACCTTTACTGTTTTATTGCTATTGGACTATTGAAATTGAAAATAAAACTTATGCAAGTAGACCGCAGTAGTTAAAGTCGTTCATATAAGCTTGAAAGGAAACTACTGCACGTTTTCTCGCGCCATAATAAACGTATGGAAAGCTATAAATAATCATTTGTTTTTAATTTTCGTCTGAATTTAGTGCAAAGGATATATACAACAAAGTAATGACATTTTAATACGTATTTAGATTTATTAATAGTAGTTCACGCATTTTATCGTTTTTTTATTTTACCTGACCTTTCGAATACATGCTCACGGGCTGAACGTAATTAATTATATGTTGCGATAAAATCCTTAAATTATTTTTATTCAATTGTATAATGTTCTTGGAAATAAGAAAAACTAGCTTAGTGAACTGCAAAATACCATGAGATTAATTACAAATGTTAAGTTATTCGGAAAATTATTCGGTTCTGGCGCATATGTTGTAGAATAATTAAATAGTATTTTTAAATAAACAAACCGTAATATAAGTTAGAGTAGCTTCATTTTTGGTGTTATTTACTTACCACCAAAAACGTCTACCCGTAGCGCCCTCTTTCGACGTCATTACCAAATGTAAAGCTCCGAAAAGCGAAAGTTTGAGATACTGACATCTGGCGTAGAGCTTTAGAAACACTGCAAGAGCCTAGCCCAAAAAATTGCGTCGAAGGCCTTCAACCTTCAAGGCCTTTCAACAGAGCTACTTTGTAATCCACTAATGAAATTATACTGTTTATTTTAGGTAAGTTAATATGTAATAATCTACATAAATTAGAAAGTTTTTTGACTGAAGTGGAAAAGATATGTATAGAAATGTCTCATTAAAATCAAACGTAATAATGCAAATCACTTGCACTAATCAAATTTAATAAGCTATCCCCAGACCGGCCACATAAATCACGTGGTAATAAATAATTCACGAAAAAAACAACACTTGTAACATTTTATGGGTTTGATACGCTTTTTATTCGGGCGGTAAATAAACAAATTGATATGTCATTATTTCTATTTCTCAGTCATAGCGCTCCTTACTAGGCATCAGCAAGGTTGCTTAAAACATGTACCTAACTAATCAAAATTAAAAATAATGAAACAATAATTACCTAACTGGCTATCTTATTTTATACAAATACATCTAATATTTCATTTCAAACATTGCAAAACAAATCTACTAAAGCTCTAAATTATTTATCTCTGTATGTGTCCACTCTGTATGTAAACCAGTCAGTGAGCAGACGAACCAGTATTTAAGCATTTTAGTACTAAGTTACAAAGTATGAGTGACGTTTAACTTAGAAGTTCAAGTCAAGTTATGTAATCACTACCACATGACATACGTGCCAGCTCTTCCCTTGACATTTTACGTAATAGAATCAAAAGACACTACTTATCTACTTAAAATTGACAACAAATGTTTGTATGTATTTATATTGTATGTAGCCATGTATTTGTATATATGTATTTGTTTTTATTATGTTTTTATATACATTTATATGTAGATATGTATATGTATATATATATATATATATATATATGTATATATATATATATATATATATATATGTATGTATATATATATATATATATATATATATATATATATATATATATATATAAATATTAATTGTTTACTTCTTGTATATTTTTATAATTACTCTGGTAAAATCTTTAATAATGTACACACCTTCACCTAATTACACATTATTATGGCTACGTGTTCTCAAGGGTCTGCTGGAAGAGAACTCTTTTTAGGGTTAAGCTCGCCTTTGTACATGTTTTTTGTCATTTGTTCCGATTGTCAGTATTGTAATTGTGTACAATAAAGTTTTAAAAAAAGGTTGGCGGAGATGAAGCGATTTCCACCGCTCATGTAGTACATGTACATAACACCTTAAGGTTTGCAAATGCGTTGCTAATATTAAACACGTAGGTCCCGGTTACCACACTCACCAGATGAAACGTAGAAGCAAAATACATACTTCCACTTCGCACCGGTCTTCTGTGAGGCCTTCCCACATTAAAAACAAAATAAAACCGAGCAGTGTTTCCAGTCCGCAAATGGCAACCTCTGCAGCTCGCAATGATACGTAGCGGAAGGATTTTTTTTTCTATTGCATCATCTACGCGGCGTTCTTGATAACGCTTGAAGATATCGCCTAATTATTTTTCACTATCTCAATTCTGTGCTTCAATAATAAGATTATTGGAGAACAGAATTTGTATTGCAGTTTGTTGCTATGACTGTTTAAGAGTGCAAACCATGCCCAAATATGGATTTCGATCTTCCATCTTTTTTTTTCCTTTAAATACTAATGATTATGACCTAAATGATTTCTTGTATTTATGAAAATACAGAAAATTGTTGAATAAAATTGTTTAATAGGTTTTTTATCGTGTTCAATTTACATTTTTATACCTGACGTTTCGACGACCACACATCTGGACTATCCCTTCTCTGGACGCTGCAAAGTATTCGAAAATTCGAGAACAAGAAGCAAAAATAGATATATTTCAACGATTATTAACCTAATTTGCGTATCACATGAAATGCAAATAAAGTTCAACGTCGTTGAAATATTTTGAAGGGTATAGGTACTTGGGAGTGTAATGACGCGCAACGCCGCGATTAAACGCAAATAATCGCCTATTTTTTAATCATGAATCGAGCTGTAGTTTGCTACTCGTTTCTCCCGGTGAATTTAGGGTCTTTGGCTGCATTTAGTGGGGGTTTTAGTCGGTGCGAGTCCGATATAACCCGCTCTTGCCCCCCCCCGAGGGCGGGTATGCGTACGCATTACCCCCACGTAAACAAAAAAAAGGAATTTGCGGAGTGCAGCGTAACGGACGCTATCTTCGTGTCGTCGTCGTTCATCAGCTACGTTATTCCCTTCGGAACAGGCAGACGGACCCTGGCAGAGGACTGGCACAGGGGATAACATTTTTAGTTATTTATCTCTTGTTACCTTAGAGAAGTATACCTTCTTACTACACATAATTTCTTTTACATTTTTCACAAGATCTATAAAATACTTCAACCGATACGTTTCCAGTAGCACATGATTCGTTTGATTCCGTGTGCAGATGACATACAGCCGCGGCAACTACACGCAACTGACGTTTGCCCACTCAAAATATAGACGAGGAAAATGATAAGGGGTTATTTTTAGATCATTCCATTAGACGATAATATGCTCGCTTCAATGGAAACTTTATAGCTGTTATATGTAGTTTACGTTACTTTCGCATATTTAAAGGACATTAATACACGATCAGATTTGTCGTATTTGTGTGTAGCGGGTTGTATCTACATATGTTTTAGTAATTGCTCTGTTTTAATGGAGTAAGTGTTAATAATCATGTACCGTAAAGTGTTCTCATATTATTAGCTGTATATAGCAAAAATATTCACCAAAATTATCAAATCAATGTACTGACATTGATCGAATAATTTTGGTGAATACTTTTTACTGACGTGAATACTTTTGTACTGTCAAATCCATATCGTTAAATAATTTTGCATTTGCATACGTTTCTAAGCTTGTGTGAGCAATTTATGTAACATATACATGTTAAATAAAAATAGATGATCAATAAATTACTGATGCATAGATGTTTTGCGAAGATTGAATAATCATAAACATGCGCATGTCTTTTGGTAATCATATCCTATTTTAGTCTAATTTATTAGTTGTCACTTTATGCCTATCATCTGTAAGGTCTTGGTACGTTCCCAGCCAATTTGTACGAATAGACTGTTTCGACTAAGGCAAATAACAATTGAGGTTATATAACGAAGAAACAACTAATTAAAAATGCAAATAAATGAAACAGTCTAATGAAAAACTAATTTGTGCACCACAATCCGTGCACTCCACTATAAAAGTCATTTCTTTTAATTAACCTTTCTCGCTTGTATAGTCATCACATACGTTATACAGGTACAAACGAGTAGAGTAGCTGCGGTAAAGGTTTTGTTTCATTAAAATTAAACAACGTCACTAACGCTATTGTTTATTTCATCAAGTTTGCATTCAACATTGTTTAAGCAAACTCCACTGTCGAGGAAATGACTGGACAGTATTATAAATAGGTTACAAAATCGCTCAATGGTAAATGTTTCTATTTTAATTGAATTTTGTTCCTAGAATAGTGTAGGTACGAGTCAATATACAAAACGAATTTGCGCTACTTCAAAATATCGAATTATCAATTTTTCATGCTAAATGTTACGCCCCAGTCGATGTGAGATATGCGGCGTACAACGCCATTGTCATTTCATAATATAAAGTACCTTTGCTGTAAACGTATGTATTATGAAAATAAATTCTTCTTTAGTTTCTTGACATCACATTAGCAAGATCAATCGAACTTATAATAAAATCAAATCGAGCTAGAACGTTAATATAAAATATATCGTTCTTATATGTACGAACTAGCTGCTGCCCGCGACTACGACTGCGTAGAATAGGCTGAAAGCGTAACATTCAGACAAAAAGACAGATATACATAAAATATGTATATAAATAATTATAGCCTATGTGTTATTCTGATGTATAAGCTATATTATTGTAAAGTTTCATTCAAATCCATTCAGTATTTGCGTGAAAGAGTAACAAACATCCATCCATACATACAAACTTTCACGTTCATAATATTAGTAAGGATTTTTATTTCTTTTATTTAGTCTGATGTCTTCATGGCTTCATCATCCTTTCTCCTGCTTTTGTCCCACCAAGCTGTGGTCGTCACAACGTGAAAATCCTGTCGTTTGTGAAATCCCGTTAAAACTTAGCCTATTGGCTACGCGACAAACAACCTTATATCGATAAAAATAACCGCCTTAAACATCGTTGTAACTATCATTGGGTCACACAAATACTTGTCCCGTGAGGGAATCGAACCCATGTCACCCAGGACCGAAGCCATTAGCTTAGCATCTGCGCCATCGAATCATCTACGTCATATTTAATCAATTAATTTACGTAATATATAATTGATATTCGTACCGTTCAATTCGTTTCAAATATATTTAAATCAATATTACTTTATCCACGTGTCGCATAATCGGCGCATATCGCCGGTACACATTTCGCAAGTGGCACGTGCATGATCTCTGATTATAATCTTGCGTCAACAAAGGCCCAGTCACACCTATAAATGTAATGTCGGCGCATTACCCGCTTAAGCGCACGTATTTTTGTTTCGTTATCGCAACTTTATAGATGTGAAACACCTTACGAGTAACGTAATAAGATGCAACGATCGAACGTTTTCACGTGGCTAAAGTAATTTTATGCACTCGATGTCAGCTTACACCTTGAGTCGTAAAAAACATTTATTGGTCAGTTAAACCAATAATTATGTGGATAATTTTATCAATTTAACTACAGTCAGCTTGTGTTTGCCAAAATTTGGTGTCGCTGCAATTGTATTCACAACATATTAAATGTGATTTCAATGAGTTTACCTCATACGTGGTAAAGATAAACTGTTAACTTTTACATTACATTACAGTGTATGTATGGTAACTTTTGACCCAAAATTTGTGATAGATCACCTAGGAATTTGTACACATACATTCTTAGTCGTAATAAAATTCATTCAATGGTTTTCATTGAGAGTAACAACAATTTATATTTGAAAAGATACACCTATCGAGATATGGTAACATTATCTAAAAAAAGAATGGAAACTGCCGTACTATCAGATGACGTCACATGCTAAATTTCATTATCCGTACTATTTTTAGATAACCGTTGTTGTGCGAAGTTTACTGCAGTTACGCCCACAGTTTTAATAATAGGTATTGTATGACACTAAAATATCGATAATTTATAAATTCACGTATATTTGCGAAACCTCACTGTATTCGCGACTTAACAAGTTTCTATAAGTGTTTAATTAAGTTACGAGAAACGGTTTCGAGAACCACATATATTACCATTACCATGTTGTGTAAGAAAATAATTTGTGTATATTAATTATGCTCGAATATAAAATGTAATAACTCATCACCGCATTAAAATAACAATAATAGTAATTTATAATTCCTAAATACAGTGTAAACTCTATATAACGACAAATTGTTCAAAACGGCAAAATTATTTGTCTATGGTTGGTTTCCCTCGTTATCTATGCAATAATACATTCTATATAGCTGTATACTGCTATATACTGTAAATAACGAAAACAATGTGGCAATATTTGTACATATTTCTTAATCGCCAAAATTAGTAAGAACTACGGCTGAAAGTTGTTTTGTTTGTTATGTTATTGCTTTATTAGACGTACCGAAGACTAAGAAATTCTGTCTTTTGTTTGTTGTGTGATGAACTTCGCAATTTACCTCGGCCACTCGATTGTCGTTAGGTTGGTATACGTTATCATAATCTTAGTTGCTTAAGAACGTTCAAACTGCAAATAAAAGAAAATCTTTGTGTATTGACGAAAATGTTCTATTTATACGTTCAATAGAAGCGGAAGAAAAGATAAGTGAGTTGGAAGTCACTTTGGATTTAGCCACCCAACCGTGTGAACAATATGGAAAAACGTGGAATAAATCCTGCAAGCAGAGAAGGATGGAATTTTTTTTTTTAATAATTAAAGTAATATCAATGTTATGGCCCTTGAATCGTGTAATTGTTAGTCGATTGTCTATCTTTCGTTAGCAGGGTGTTGCGAGGTGTTTTCATGCTGCGTTGTTCTCCTGAGTCCGTGGGTCATCTGCCTGCGGAGCTCTTCCTCCGAAGCTGTCAAGTCTATCGGGCTACTAGTAAAATACACGTCACAAAAAAAATTCTCTATATCGTCAAAAAATTACACAGTCGTCGTTACATGAGTTTTACATTGTATATATGTGTTTCATGATTTTTAGTGTTTAATATAGTAATATCTTATACTATCACTAACGATAACAAGAGGCGCAATCTAATAAAGCACTCAGAACCTTCATTTTTCAGAAACTAATCCAAAAACGAAACATTCCCACTGTAAAAAAAAGTTTTTAGCTCATTGCACTTTCTGTGCTAATAGGGCTTTCTAGAAGATTTGATTATTCTACACACGGTACGCCTTACTACGTCAACAGTTATGTATCCGCCGTTATCAATTTACGAAAATACCTATTCATAAATAATTGTGGCTAGTAACCTAAGCTCTATCGCTCTCACATCCAACCAAATACCAATACAATGCTCAGCACAATTATAATTTTTAATAACAACAGTAAAAGACCGACTTATGTAAAGTTTTGTTTTCGATAGATTTGCGATTTCTTATCCTTCTTATATAATAGAATTCTTATTAAAAAATTTACCACTAGCTTACTCAATTAATATTTGTTATCATTTCTGTGCGTTATATTAACGTTGAATTAACCCGTTCTTATGGAGTTTAAATTAAGCACCAATTATCCGTTGTCCTGTGTACAGGGAACTATTCTTCGCTTTCCAAATTATCTGGAAATTAATTATGGTCACAAATTAAAACAAATCCAGCGTAATAAGGGCTAAGCAAAACAACCAATTCAGATAATCGCAACCCGGCGCTTGTGTCTCACGAATGTCCTCTATTTGTTTGTTCTTTTCACTGTTTATTTGCCCGCGATATGACGCAACACCGCACCGCGTTGACATGCAGGTCCTTCTGATAATTTACCTACAGCAGTCACGTTACAAACTCTTAACTTACAATTGGGTATTCCCGTATTTCACAATATCACTTCATAGATTATAATTTACCTACAATTATAATTTCCGTCGGAAGCCATGTTGATTGTTGTTTGTTTACAGCAAAGGTTACTGAGATTATCAGAACCGATAGAATATTGTCTCCCGTTAGCCGAGTATTTCTTTTTTACGTCCTAGGCTTTTTCTTTTTCATGTTCTTTTCGAGCTGACGTCTTCATTGATAAATAAAGCTAAAATTTGTTCGC